CACCTAGTTCACCCAGGACCTGGCCCATAATAAACACTGACTACAAACTTGCTGACTGAATGGGTATGAAAGAATCCCACTCAGCTCCAGTGGGTGGACATCAGGGAGGACAGTTTCAGCTCACTGTAAAGAACTCATGAACAGTCATGGCTATCCAAGAATGAAATGGACGACCTTGGGAGTGATGAGCTCCCTGCCAATAAGCATATTCAAAGAGACTGGGTCTTCACATCCAGATGGCCAATACACACATGAGAAGATACTCAACATCACTCAGCGTCAGGGAAATGCAAATCAAAACTACAATGAGATATCACCTCACACCTGTCAGAATGGCTAAAATTAACAATACAGGAAACAACAGGTGTTGGCAAGGATGTGGAGAAAGGGGAACCCTCTTACGCTGTTGCTGGAAATGCAAACTGGTGCAACCACTCTGGAAAACAGTACGGAGGTTCCTCAAAAAGTTAAAAATAGAACTACCCTACAATCCAGCAATCACACTACCAGGTATTCACCCAAAGAATACAAAAGTACTAATTCACAGGAATGCATGCACCCCAGTGTTTATAGCAGCACTATCTATAGTAGCCAAATTATGGAAATAGCCCAAATATCCATCAACTGATGAATGCATAAAGAAGATGTGGCATATTACTCAGCCATAAAAATGAATGAAATCTTGCCATTTGCAATGATGTGGATGGAGCTAGAGGGTATTATGCTAAATTAGTCAGAGAAAGACAAATAACATGATTTCACTCATAGGTGGAATTTAGGTAACAAAATAAAAGAGCAAAGGGAAAAGAGAGAGAGGATAAAGCAAAACAAGAAACAGACTCTTAACTATAGAGAACTGATGGTTACCAGAGGGTTGGTGGGTGGCAGGATGGGTGAAATAGGTGCTGGGGATTAAGGAGCACACTTGTTGTGATGAGCACTGGGTGTTGTAGAGAGTGTTGAGTTACTATGTTGTACACCTGAAACTAATATTACACTGTAGGTTAACCAACTGGAATTTAAATATAAACATTTTCAAAAAGAAAAGAGAACGCCCAACACATAATATAAATAGGAAAGCCAGTCTTCATAATCAATCTAATCAGCAACATTTGATTTCCTGTCAGAAGAGAGACTGGGTCTTGATTTGGAGGCTGAACTAGGAACCAGGTGACCCTTCAAGTTGACAAATGGACAAGTTCTATTAGTTAGGGAAAAGACAAGATCAAAGTCATGCTTCCAGACAACTTTCATTCTGTATGTACAGAACAAACTGACGTGGAGGGCCCCAAGGCCAGGAGGACCAGTTAGGAACCACTGCAGTGGGCAGTAAGAATGGAAAACAAGAACAGGTGTGTCACCAGAGGAGCGCAGCCACTGTGCTGGGAGTCGGGCCCTACAGGTTCTGGTCCTACCTCTGCCTTTAACTTACTGTTTGCGCTGGGGTAAATCCCTTCCCTTCTTTGGATTTCAGTTTTCCCGTCTCTGAAGCGCAGAATAATCCCCAAGTTCCTTCTAACTCTGTTTTCTTTTTATGGGAGCAAGATTATGAAGGATGGCTAAGATAATATATTAGACAGCCTTTACAAGCTTCAAAGTAACAATATCCTTGGTCTCATCACTATTGTTATTAGTATGATTACACAGACAGCCTCCCCAGGCCAGATGAAGAGATTAGCAGGAGAGGACAAAACGTCCATAGACTGAGCGCCTGGGTGGCTCAGTTGGTTAAGCGACTGCCTTCGGCTCAGGTCATGATCCTGGAGTCCCGGGATCGAGTCCCGGGATCGAGTCCCGCATCGGGCTCCCTGCTCAGCGGGGAGTCTGCTTCTCCCTCTGACCCTCTTCCCTCTCGTGCTCTCTATCTCTCATTCTCTCTCTCTCTCAAATAAATAAATAAATAATCTTAAAAAAAAAAAAAAAAAAGAAGAAGTCCACGGACTGCATCTGTAGGGGCGGGAGTAGGGGGCAGGGCCTTTGGTCTTTGGGGAAGGCCAGCTGACAACTCTACCCCTCCCCCAAGTTCTGTGAGGACAAACAGCGTTCTGTGTGTTGTCACCTCAGGAACCTTTTCCTCATTCCTTTGAGCCACACCCCATACTTGGCTCAAGGAAGCAACCGGTTCTAGGAAAAGTTAGACTCTGTCTCCCTCCTCATAATGTTCGCAAATGACACCTGATGTGGTCTTTTCCTTAAATAACAAGTATCATCATCTCATATGAAAACAACCAATATGATTGGGCACTATATGCTTAGCACCTGACACAATTTTCTCACACTGGGAGGAAGCTATAATCATTATGCCCATTTTATAGGCAGGGATACTGTGGCTCATGGAGATACACAATTTTCCCACTGTTGCACAGCTTATGAGGGGGATTCTAATATAAGTCTTTGTGCATTCGAGGCTGCAGTCCTAAAGGCTTCTAGCATTTTACTATGTAATTTTGCAACAACTTAGGGAGGAGGGCAAGTCAGTACGGTCTCCAATTTATACCAGGGGCCACAGAGAGGTTAAGTTTAATCACTCTGACAAATTGGTAACGTCTTTCAATGTGCAGTTCAGCGTTCTTTCCGGTTCTCTGTTCCTCTCTTCTGACCCAGCAGTTCTTTCCTCCTTCTTCTGTACCTTCGGGGGCCTCCCCAGTCCTAGTTCTCATGGGGAGGGATTTCCCCCACTCACTTAAGAGAAGGACTTTTACTTGTCCTTTTCCTGGGGCAGAGAAAGGGAAGGAAGGCAAAAGTTAATTCCCACCTCTTCCCCGCCCCCATACACACACACCACCAGCACACACACCCCAGCCCAGGGCCTTGAGGTGATGGGGGTGAAGGCTTACAGGATGAGTCACGTGGAGCTGAACTGCCAGTCACCGGAGCACCAGGTGCTAAGCTTAGTTTAGAGGGGTGGAAAAGTAGGCCAAGTGCTCTCATTCCCAAGAGCACCTCCCAATTGCAGCCTGTGCCCCCAACTCATCTCATCCCCAAATGCTGCAAACATTTAAGAGACACTTGTGCAAGGCCTGGGAGGCAGAAGGGACACATGACAAAAAAGAGTGTATCCCCACCCTTCAGAGGGGATAAAAGTGTGAGTACAAAGTAATATACACTTAAAAGAGTGAGGGGGGCACATGGTGATTAATTCTGAGGAGAGAAACACACGGAGTTGAGAATGGGGCAGAGCTTTAAAGAGTGAGTTGAACAGGGGCGCCTGGGGGGTACTCAGTTGGTTAAGCATCTGCCTACAGCTCAGGTCATGATCCCAGGGTCCTGGGATCAAGCCCTGCAACAGGCTCCCTGCTCAGCAGGAAGCCTGCTTCTCCCTCTGCCTGTGTTCTCTCTTTCTGTCAAATAAATAAATAAAATATTTTTTAAAAGAGTGAGTTGAACATGCAGATGTGGCAGAGGGGTACTCCAGGCTTCAGGAATGCACACGCAGAAGCCCTAAAGCTTACATACATTTTGACTCCATCAAGCAGGCAATAGGGAGCCATGGAGTGCACTGTGGCTTTGGAGAAAGATGGTCTGAGTTTGAATCCTGCCTCTGCCCCTTCTCAGCTGTTTGACCTTGGACACATTACTTGATACCTTCAGTAGAGATATTGTTATTCCCGTTATTTGCTTTCCCCCTTCCAGGGGGGGAAAACTGGCTAATTCTAGCCAGTTGCCATGTGATTTGAGTACCCTCCAGAGGAAGGAGTACCCTTCCACATGAGGCTTGACCACATGACCTCCTTTGGCCAATGAAATGTGGGCAGGTGAGATTATATGCCAGTTCTAAGCAGAAACTTGAAGAGCCACTGTGTGTTTTGGTCTAAAAGCATAGTGTTTTATCTTTGCCATTGGAATGGCATGTCCTGGATAGGGTCTGTGCCCTCAGCCTGAATCCTAAAGTGAAAAAACACACAGAGCAGCACTCCAACCACCTTACAGCCACACCACAGCTACTGATGTTTAATGTGAGGGAGGAAGCTTTGTTGTTGTCAGACAGTAAGATCTGGGCGCTATTTGCCATCACGACATAATGCGCCTGTTCGCTCCCTACAGTGGATGAACAGTTCACTCCCTACCTCATGGACTGTTGTGAGGATTAAATAAGATTATCTCATGAAAAATGTATAACCATTTCATCAAGGACTTAAAATGGCACTACAAAATTATCACCCTGCCCACACCTATAGAGAAATTTGATATAGGACAGAAATGACATTTACAAAAGAATAGCAAATGATGTGGTGGTGGATTGAAAAGTGTCTCCCCCGACCCCCAACACACACACACACACACACACACACACAAAATTCATACCTACCCAGAACCTCAGAATATGATCTTTTTTGGATATATAGGGTTTTTGTAGAAGGGATTAGTTAGGGATCTCAAGATTAACTCATCCTGGATTTTGAATGGGTCCCAAATCCAATGACTGGTCTCCTAATAAGAAAAGCAGATATACAGACACCCAGAGAAGGTGCAGATGGAGATAGGGACTAAGCGATATGTCTATAAGCCAAAGAACCTCCAAGGATGGCAGGCAACCACCAGAAGCTAGGAGAAAGGCATGGGGTGTTTTCTCCCTTAGAGCCTCCAATAGAAACTGACCCTGCTGACATCTTAAAATTTGGACTCTAGCCTCTTGAACTGTGAGAGAATAAATTTCTGTTGTTTTAAGCCACCAGTGTGTGGTAATCTGTTATGACAGCCCTAGGAAACTAATACTTTTGGATTACTTTTAAAATGATACGGAACAATTGGTTATTCATTTGGAAAAAAATAAAATTGGATTCCTACCTCATGGCATACACAAAAATAACCTTCAGTGGATTAAAGACCTAAATTTGAAAAGCAAAACTTTAAAATCTTTGGAGGTAACTAAAGACCAATCTTTGGACCTCGGGGTAGGCAAGGAGTTCTTAAACAAGACACAAAAATCACAGAATGTATTAGTCTGTGTTCTCAAGAAACAGAACCAATAATAGATAGATAATAAGAAATTGGCTCACGTGGTTTTGGAGGCTGACAAGTCCCAAGATCTGCAGGTGGCAAGCTGGAAACCCAGGAGAACCGATGGTCTAAGTTCCAGTCTGAGTCTGAGTCCAAAGGCAGGAGAAGAACAATGTCCCAGCTGGAAGGCATCCAGGCAGAGAGAGCAAATTCTCCCTTACTCTGCCTTTTTGTTCCATTCAGGCCTTCAATGGACTGGATGAGGCCTGCTCGCACGGGGGAGGGCAATCTGTTTTACTCAGTCTGCTGACTCATGTTAATCTCATGCAGACACTCTCACAGACAAACCTAGAATTATATCTAACCAAATACCTGGGCCCTCTGTGGCCCAGTCAGAGTGACACATAAAATTAATTTGGATAATTCTCAAAAATATAATGTTGATAGGGGCGCCTGGGTGGCTCAGTTGTTAAGCGTCTGCCTTCGGCTTGGGTCATGATCCCAGGATCCTGGAATCAAGTCCCACATCGGGCTCCCTGCTCTACGGGAAGCCTGCTTCTTCCTCTCCCACTCCCCCTGCTTGTGTTCCTTCTCTCGCTATGTCTCTCTCTGTCAAATAAATAAATAAAATATTTTAAAACATATATATAATGTTGGTAGAAAAAAGTATAATGCGGAAGATACAACTTATATCATTTATATAAAGCTTTATACTAGACAAAGCAATAGTATATATTGTTTAGGGATACTCATACATGTAGTAAAAGTTATAAAGGCATTTATTGCCAGGATAAACTTCAGGGTAGTGGATACCTCTGGGTAGAGAAGGAGGGGAATGGGACCAGGCAGGGGTACACAGGAAGCTGCAATTTCATCTGTAACAGTTTGTTTCTTAAGCTGGGTAGTATGCACATGAGTGTGCACTACTCTGCACTATAATTTTTCTCAATATATAATTAACATACCATAAAATGCATCATTTTTAAGTGTGTAATTCAGTGGTTTTTTTGTTTATTCACAAGGTTGTGCAACCATCACTACTGTAATTCCAGAACATTTTCATCACTCCAAAAGAAACCTCATATCCATTAACAGTCACTCCCCATTCCCCCCCTCCTACCAGCCTGGCAACCACTAATCCCACTGTCTCTCTCTATGCATTCATATAAATGGATCATTCAGCATGTGGTCTTTTGTGGCTGGCTTCTTTCACTTAGCATAATGTTTTCAAGATTTATCCATGTTGTAGCATGAATCAGTATGTTATTTCTTTTATGGTTGAATTATACTCCCTTGTACGTATATACCACATTTTTGGTTACCGACTCATCAGTTGATATACATTTGGGTTGTTTCCACTTGGCTATTATGAATAATGACACTATGAACTTCTCTGTGTTTTTCTCTTGGGCATATAGCTAGGAGTGGAATTGCTGGGTCATGTGGTAACTATGTTTAACTTTTTGAAGAACTTCCAAAGCAACATCACCATGTTAAAACCTCACCAGCAATATGTGAGGGTTCAATTTCTCTACATCCTCACCAACACTTGTTATTGCCTCTCTTTTTCATTATAGTCATTCTCATGGTTATGAAATGACATGCACTATGCTTTTTGGTGTATCTGAATTATTTTGTAACAATTTATACATTTCATATTTAATAAAGAAAGACCACTGTGACAGCTGGTAGAGAATGGATTGGTAGGAGTGGAAATAGAAGGCCAGTACGAGTGTGCTGCAGATGTTCTCCAGAAAGATTAGGCCTATCTTAGAGGGCCACGGCAGAGATCATGGAGAAGGACAGCCTGGGGCCCACTTAGAGGCCAACACAAATCTGAGTGGACCCAATCAGTTTGGGGGTGGAGGCATTATTCAGCCTACTACAGTTCCATTCATTATAGATTGGAAAAAATATTGATAGTTACTTGTAGGCTAATATTCTTAGCAGCATTACTCACAATAGGCAAAAGGTGGAAACAACCCAAGTGTCCATCTATAGATGAATGAACAAAGAACATATGGCATATCCATAGAAGGAAATATTATTCAGCTATTTAAAGGGATGAAATTCTGATACCTGCGACAACTGGGATGAACCTTGAAGACATGATGCTAAATCAAAGAAGCCAGATATATGCAACAGGATAAATATTGTATGATTCCGCCTGTATGAGCTATCTAGAAATAGGCAAATTAACAGAGACCAAAAGTAGAATAAGGGGGCGCCTGGGTGGCTCAGTTGTTAAGCATCTGCCTTCAGCTCAGGTCATGATCCCAGGGTCCTGGGATCGAGCCCCACATTGGGCTCCCTGCTCAGCGGGAGGCCTGCTTCTCCCTCTCCCGCTCCCCCTGCTTGTGTTCCCTCTCTCGCTGTGTCTCTCTCTGTCAAACAAATAAATAAAATCTTTAAAAAAAAAAAAAGTAGCCTACCAGGGACTGAGAGGGAAGTAGTTATTATTTATTTAATGGGTCAAGAATTTCTGCTTGGGTTGTTGAAAAAGTTCTGGAAATAGAGGTAATGGTCATATAACATTGTGCATGTACTTAAATGCCACCAAACTGTACCCTTAAAATGGTTAAAAGAGTAAATTTTAGATTACGTTTATTTCGCCACAATAAAAATAACAATCTGTATTCCTAAAAAAATACGAATAACTATTTATTTTTTAGCTTATCCAAGAGTAATTATGATCAACTTCCTTAAGATATTCCAGGATTGCTGAATTTGTTTAGAATTCCCCTACTGTGTTGCTAATACAATCCTCCCACATGTTCCTAACACTTTGAGTATGGTACACTAATTGATCATACCTTTGGCAGAACAGAGAGCAAATGATGGGCAAATGTTCTTGGGGAAAAATGGAGGAGTCAAAATATCATTCTATGGACAGGTATAGAACTCATAAAGGATTTATGTGGTTAAAGGCAGAAGAGGGATGTCAGTTCTCTGCTTCTAATGAAGACAGAATCAGCAGATATTGCAACAGGAGTGACCTAGATTGGCTCACCACTGTAAAATGAGAGGACTGGGCCAGTAATTTCTGAGACCCCTCCAGCTCTAACAGTACCTCGCTCTGTTACTAAAAACCGAATAGGAATTCACACTGGCCCAGTGCCTGTGGTTTGTGTGGCACTGTGCCAAGTGATTTCAGTAGCTTATTCAACCCTCATGACTCTGTATGGTTGGTATTACTACCCCCATTTTACATAGAAGGAAACAAGAGTCCAGATAACTTACATCATTTACTCAGAGTTCCAGAGCTAAGAGGTAGCACAGCTGAGAACCAAGGCCAAGGATGTCTGACTCCAAAGTCATATGCTCCACACTAGGCCATGCTATAGCATCCTCTTTTGCAGAGATACTTGGGAAAGGAGAGAGCTGACTCTGGGCTACAGGCTGGGCCACCCCCAGCTCAAAAGCAGGAGCCTGAAGTCACTTGTTAAGATTACTCGGAGCTGCTTCCCTCATATGCCAGGTCCAGAGACTGGGGCTGCAGATCCGCTACAAACTGTCCACCAATCTTCAAAGATGGAACACTTTACAAGTGTTCATCTGCCCCTGTAAACCTCCGGAGCATCCATCTCCCAGGTGAACTGGTTGTGGCCCTTGGAGGAAGAAAGGGCAGTACCTTTTGGCAGAAGTATGACCTCTGGCCTTTGCAGTTCTCTGACCTAGAATGGGCAGAACAACAACAACAACAAAAAACCAAGTTACAATGTAAAGCACCCCAATGTGGCTGAAGGATCTTGCACATATGTTTTATCAGAGAAGGTACTGGAATAATTTCCCATTCGTAGCCGGTCTTCTGGCCTCCAGTCCGTTCTATACCTCAGTGGCTTGGTTAATTTTCCCAAAGCACAGTTCCAATGAGGACCTTCTTCAGCTCAAGAGAGAAATCCAAACTCCTCAGCTTGGTATCTGAGGCCCTCTGTGATTTGTCTCTATTTCTATTTCCAGCACCTACCAACCTTATGCAGACGTCGACCCTACTCACGGCTCCCCGTTCATGCCTCATCTTTTCCCATGACACTGGGCTGTGACAGCTGGGCCCAGTCCTAAATTCTCTTCACCGGGTAATAATCCAACCCCCTTCCTCTGGAGAACTCTTTGCTCTCTCCTCATACACAGAACCTTGTATCCTCCAGTGGAATCTATCTTCCTGGCCACATGGATTAATTCCAGGTTGGGTATGTGACCAAAGCTGACCCCCCCTACAATCTTCTCTGGGACTCTCCTGCTGTGGGTGGCAGGGAGGGCTATCTTGCTCTCCTCTGATCTGTCATAACTCTTATCTGGACTCTCCTAGGCTGCCTAGCTCGTACTACAGGTATTCTTATATTCTCTGCGAGATTGCCTAAGCCCTGCTTTCTCCAAGTGCTCCACTTCTTTTCAAGTGCTCAATTTTAACAGACATTTCCTGACCCTTTTCTGTGCAGACATTGTGCTATGCTCTGGGGATCCAGAGTTGGATAAGACATCCCTTATTGAATGGATGGATGAATGAAAACAGTCCTTGGGCCTCATCCAGTTTATCACAGGGGATTGGACAGCAGAAAATAGTAAATATAAAGACCAAAGTCATTAGCCTGGCGTTCAAGACCTTCTCGATCCAGTTCTAATGTTGTGCCCCCACTACACATACTCTTAGCTCCAGCCAGACTGGCCTGTTTGTTGTCCTAGAATAGCCTGGGATGCCCCCACATGCGTGTGTTGGCCCAGGCTGTGGTCCTCTCCCATGGTCTCTTCCTGTTTTTCTCTTCCATTCATAACTTCCCTTTCGCCATCTCCTGGGGGCCTCATTTCTCTCACTTTTAGCTCCTCTCCCTTCTACTCCCCCTCTTTCACCAGGTCTCCTTTCCTTTTTCCTTTCTCTCAGCTGTCGCTGAGCTCTCTTCTGACACTTCCCTGCATCCCACTCTTACCTCTTAATTCTCTCTCTTTTGTCTCCTGACCCCCTTCCTGCTCTGTGCACAGCCCCCTCCTCTGGGGGGCAAAAGATGGGATAAGACAAATCTAAATCAAACAGCTTCTAGATCTCATCACAAGAAGTCCTCAAAGTCAGGGGAAAGGAGAGGGGGAGAAACGGAGGGCAGAGGGGATCCTGGAGGCAGAGAAGAGGCTGCCTAGCGACCGCTGGTGAATCAACAGGGAGCTCTGTGTCAGTTACCCACCTCCAACCCACCCCCGGCCCTTCCCTTTCCTCCCTGCGATCACAGAATTATGAAAAGTCAGAACTGCAAAAACTCTTGACATCCATCTACTTTGCCTCCCTGATTTTGCAGCTGAGAAAGTGAAGCACAACTAGGGAAACAGAGGCCCAGAAAAGGGAAGCACTAGCTAATGTCACCCAGCAAGTCAGTGGCTCAACAGAAACCGGAGTCCTAAGCCTCCCACCCTCCAGAATGGTGGGAGCCCTTTCACCATACCACACTACCTTCCTCCCTGTCGTCCCTCCCCCTGGTCCCTACCCCGCCAGGTTTGAGATTACATTTAAGGATGCCCAATCTCCCCTCCCTCCCTTGCTCCCACCCGGAGTAAGTGTAGGATCCAGTGAAATAGGGCCAGAAGGGACAGACCACATCAGAAGGTCCAGCCCTAAGTCCCAGGGGTATATTCAGTGGTGACAGGATGGGGAAGGCGTCAATCTGGCCTGTAGGGGGACCAGTCTCCTCTTCAGAGAGCTCCATTAGAAGCAGCCTCTGGTGAGTTAAGAGATGCTGCGTTAGACAGGATCCTTTCTCACCTGCCCAGCTTAGCTGGCCACCTAGAGACCCTACCTCACTCTGCCAGCCACCAGCCATGGACTTCAAACAGAGGCCACCCAGGCACAGGATGGTCCACAGTTGCCAGTAGGGGTGGCTAGAGGTTGGGGGGGGCGGGTGTTCCAGAGGCTCCACTTTCAGTTCTACTTCTCTGCTCCACAAAGAGCCACTGTCTGAGCACAGAAGGACCCTGGAGGGAGGCCTCCCAAGGTGCTCAGCAACAGGGCTGGGTTTCATCATGCTGGGCCTTCAGGCCAAGTAAACATCAGGGTGGAAACAGGCCTAGCAGTTCATTCCTGCCACGGGATCCTGGCTTCAGCAATGCTCAGTGGCATCCTCACCCAGGGCTTCCCTGAGAAAATGAGGGCCAAGGTCATTTGCCCAATTTTCTCCAGGCATGGAGAGTCAGGATGGGGAACTGGCTGTATCCAATCCTCTTCCCATTGCTCAAGGAGCATCCTATTTCCCCCTTAAGAAGCACACGTTTTACAAGACATTTTTTAATTAGTTTAGGAGGAGAGAGCTCTGTGAGCTTGGGCAATCAGGGAAGACTTCCTTGAGGAAGTACAATTTAGCTGTGATTCTCCCCAAATGGACAGGAAGGAGAAATGCATTTCGGGCAGAGAGCATAGCACTGACAAGCTGTGGTGTCTGGAAAGCAGGAACATTTGGGGGTCCATGAAGAGATCTATCCGGCAAGGGTAGAGAAAGAATTCACATCAGAGAAGATGGGAAATAAAGTCAGAAAGTTTCGTTGAAGGTTAAACCACGACCAGTGTGAACAGCCAGGCTGAGGAGTCATGACATTTCCTGAGCAGAGCAGCGACGGAGTAAAAGCAAAATTTCAGAAAGTTTAGGCTTATGATGTTTTGAAAGAGTCCCTACATTGAGCCCCAATCTTCTGGATGACCTTGGGCTGGTTATGGCCTCTCTCTGGGGCTTGGTTTCCTCATCTTTAAAATAAAAGAGTTACGAGGTGCCTGGGTGGCTCAGTCGGTTAAGCGTCTGCCTTCAGCTCATGTCATGATCCCAGGGTCCTGGGATCGAGCCCGCATCAGGCTCCCTGCTCAGCGGGAAGCCTGCTTCTCCCTCTCCCACTCCCCCTGCTTGTGCTCCCTCTCTTGCTGTGTCTCTCTCTGTCAGATAAATAAAATCTTTCTAAAAATTTTTTAAAAATAAAATAAAAGGGTTATACCAGAGAATCCTGAAGCCACTTTACATCTCAAAATGCGAGAATTCTCTGATGGGGCGGCAGGGCCAGCTGAGAATGAAAGGAGGAGAGGAGGAGAGGAGAGGCTGTGGGCACATGCCAGATATCTCTGGGCTGCATTTCCGCAATGAATCATCCCCACAGAGCTGTGAAATGGCCATCATCACTACCTTTGCTGCCAGGCACTATGCTGAGCACTCCCCACTTTCTTAAAACTTCAGTTTTTTGTGAATAGGAAATGCATATACATATTGCAAATTTTAAGTCATAAAAAGATGCATGTATGGTAAAAATAAGTTTCCCTCCTTCTCCTATTTTCAGCTATCCATTTCTTTTCCCACTGTCACCAGTTTCCTGTGTAGCCTTCCAGAGAAAACCTATACATAGATAAAGATTCTAGAAAGTCTCTTTTTCTTTACAACAGATGGGAGCATACTGGACATACTTCTGCATTTTGGTTTTTTTAACTGGGAAATTCTGGAGATCTTTTCATATGAGTATATAAAGAGCTGCCTCATTCTTTGTATGGCAGACCATGATTTATTAAATTAGTCCCCCATGGACAGATATTTAGGGTATTTCTTTTCTAAACAATGCATCAATGAATATCCTGAACATACATCATTCAGCTTGTGCTGGAAGAGATCCACAGGATATATCCTTAGAATGGAAATTATATGCTAAGCTCTTCATAGGACTTAAGATTCACAACAATAATTTAAAGCAATTATAATTATATGGATCTTGCTGATGACAGAATCGAGGCACAGAAAGATTCGTTGACTTGTTCAAAATCACACAGCTCTTAGGTACTAGAGTTGAGATTCCAATGCGGTCAGTAGTGGGGAAGCCCCACTACCCACACTGGCAGAGAGCCAACTTCATGTTGTGAGAGCCTGCTATGAACTGCATGTTTGTGTCTTCCCAAAATTCATATATTGAAGTCCTCCCCTCCCCTCAAGGTGATGGTATTTGGAGGTGGAGCCTTTGGGAGGTAATTAGGTTTAGAGGAGGTTATGAGGGTAGGGCCCCCCATGATGGGATTAGTGTCCTTATAAGAAGAGACGAGAGCTCTTTCTCTACTATGTGAGGACAATGCAGAAAGATAGCTGTCTGCAGGCCAGGAAAAGGGCCTCACCAGGAGCCAAGTCAGCCTGCACCTTGATCTTGAACTTTCCAACCTCCAAAACTTTGAGAAATAAATGTCTGTTTTTTAACGCCCCCGCCCCACACCCCCCCCCCCGTCGGTAATTTGCTATAGCAGCCCAAGCTGACTAAAATAGAACACTTGGGAATGCAGCTGTTTATTTCCTCCCATGCCTCACTTTGCTTAAAATGAAATCAATGAGGCAGCCAGGCCTTTGTTATTAATGGAAAGGCAGCATCTCAGAATGCTAGAGCTCAATCAAGATAAGCAAATCCAATGCTCTCATTCATTATTAGTAACAATAACTATAAATCATAGCCTACCCATGCAATTGACATGCTTCCTTTTCAAAAAATTATTATTCCCTCTAATCGAATTCCCCGTGTTTCTTTCCCCCTTATTCTGGTACACAGCCTCTCTTTCCATTCCATGTGGCTGATGTGGCCAGTCCACATACACATACACACACAAAAACTATGAGAAAGTCGGGAGGAGGTCTGAGGCCTGTGGGATGCCCTTTCTGCAGAGTGAGGAACTGACAAAGATATCTCCCAAACATGGACAAAGTTTCAGGGTCGTGCATTGTTGCCTGGAGGCCCCCAAACACCAGCCCAACTCCTCAAGGTGCTGACTCTGTTACAGAATTCGATCCCTGAGCTCAAGGGCCTTGAGGACCCCTGCAGCTTCTTCCAGCGGCTCCCTACCTGGCCGTGAGTCCTGCTTCTGCTGCCTGGCTCCCCCACAGGCCTCTCTCTTGGGCTTCTTCCCCTGTCAGTACCCTTGCTTTGGACCCCACACCCCAAAGCCCAGACTTGTAGCTGAAAATGTCTAGGCCCCTGGACAAGTGACACCCCCAGAAGCCATTGGTTGGGCAGCTGCAGCGAAAGTGGCCAGTAGTCAGGGAGAGAATTTCAGGGGCCAAGGCAGTCAGAGTCGGTTGGTCAGGTGCACGGCAGGCCGGCAGTGTGATTCCACCGCATCTGTTGGGGGCGGGCCAGGTCAGCCATCACGGCAGGCGGGCAGGTGGAGTCGGACACGGCCGCTCTCGGTCAGGCAGAGTCACACAGGTGGCCAGGGAGGGACAGTCAGGGAGACTCACTCACCCAGGAACCCAGTCCCTGGGATGCAGCTAGACTCAGATGGTCGGCCAGAATCAGCCAGCCATGCAAAGCCAGCCGCGCAGTCTGGCAGATGCGGTCAGCCCACACATCAGGCGGGCTGATCCAACCTTCCAGATGCCCAGCCGGGCCGGCTCCAGCAAACACGAGGCGGTGCTGAGGCCCGCCGGGTCAGGGCAGTCAGCAAGTCTCCCGAGGCCAGCCAGACAGGGGGTGGGACTCCGGCGATGGCCGCAGCAGCGCTCCGGCCCAGGTGCAGTCCAATCGGCCGGCCAGTCTCTGGCCAGTCTCGGGCGGCTTAGCCCACTGAGCAGAATGTGGTCAAACCACTGCTCAGAGCGATCAGTCAGAAGGCTGGTCAGTCGGACACCGGGGGCCTCAGTCAGTCAGATACAGCTTGTCGAACACCGAAAGGGTCTGGGCAGCCAGACGCGCCCTGTCAGGCCCGGATGCCTTCAGCCAGGTGTGGGCAGTCCGTCAGTCAGCTGTGGTCAGGCAGACAGATCACACGCTGTTGGGCCCTCAGGCACCCATGAAATCTGGGTTCCGTCAAACACAGCCAGACAGACGGATTATCAAGCAGTGATGGCGTCTGTAGTCAATCAGACACAGTCAGTCAGTCAGATGCAGCTCGCCAGGCACTGATGGAACCAGCCAGAACCGCACAACTGCCGCGGGATCACGGGACAGAGGCCCCGCGCCTCGTCCAGGGTGGAGCCTCGGGGGGGGCGGGGCCTCGGCCTGAGCCTCGTCCCGGGGGCGGGGCCTCGTTCTGGACTGGGCGGCGGCCCCGCCCCTCCTCTCCCTCGCCGCAGCCTCCGGGTGTTGCCATGGCAGCCGCGGCCAGGCAGGATGCTCTGCCCGGGCCCCCCCCCCCCCCCCCCCCCCCGGGCCGGGGCCCGGGGGGCCCCCCCCGGGCGGGGGGGCTGCCCGGGCCCCCCCCCCCCCCCCCCGCGCCCCAGTGCCTGCGACCTGGAGCTCCCAGCCGGGCCGCGGAGCGGTGAGTGTGTTTGAGAGTCCCCGCTGCGGGCTCGGCCCTTTTGTCACCCCCTCGTACCGACTGGGAATGACTGGGAGACTGGGGAGGACTCACGTCAGGATCCACAGTGATAAGAGCCCCAGAACCTCCCGACCCCGGGCTCCTCGCCTCCTCCGTGACCTGCACGGGTCCTCGGGAGGAATCACATTTCTCCAGCAGAGGAGCGAGTCAGGAAGAGAGAACCGGCCCGCGCAGCGATGTGCTTACGGTTCCCTGGGCTCGGCGGGGACTCGGGCGAACACTCACCTGTACCAAGCACTGATAAAAGCGTCATGTACACTAATTCACTTGAGCCTCATACTTTTCCTTTGACAGTCTATAATGATTTCCTTTATCACAGGAGGAAGCCGAAGCACAGAAGGGTTGGTGACCAGGGTCAGCGGGCTGTGGTGGAACCAGGTGGGGGAATGAGGATTGGAACCCAGGCAGTCTAGCTCTGGGGCCCTCAACCCAGACTCTGGCCCTCTCTGTGTGACCTCTGAGGGCAGACCATGGTCATGATCTCAGAGTTGCGAGATCGAGCCCCCAACAGGCCTCTCTGGTCGGCTTCAGGACGCCCAACCCTATCTACACTGGGCCCTGCATCCTGAAGGTCCTGCTTGAGTCTCTGCTTCAAGGACTCACAATAAGGAGCTATCAAAACCAGGAACCTGGCCAAACCAGGGGACAAACTATGAGTCTGTCTCATCCAGTCTAGAGAAGAGTAAGCCTGTGAGATCTGAGAAGCCAGGGCCAGGGGGAATCCTATGAGCATGGCTTCAGAGCTTCAAGTCCAAAGATTTTTGATCAAATTCCACAACGTGAGCCAGGAGTTAGAAACACATCATGGGTCATAAATTCAAATGCCTACAAGGGCTAGAAAAGTAATGAAAGTAATGAAAAAAGGGTCAAGGGATCAAACTGGCAAATCAGCCCCATCTAAAGGGGGCACTGCCTCTCGGCTCCTGCCCATTGTGTTCTCAGACACCTGCTATCTTCTAGTTGAGTGCCATTGGCTAACTCAATTAACATCAAGTCTCAGTTTCTCCATCTGCATAACAGGAAGGAAAATTTGGCTTTATTTCACAGGGTGAAATTTTATGGAGATCAAACATGTTTTTGTATATAAAAAATATTTTGTGAGCTGTAACATTATTCTATAAAGTGGAGGGAGAACAAACAGGAAGTTGACTGAACATAGATTGTACATCTGTTCCACGGTCTACAAGTTCTGACAGCATTCCTCTGAGGCAGGGCTTAGCATCCCTCTTGTCCAGAAGATGAGAATGCGGGGCACCTGGGTGGCCCAGTGGTTTAAGTGTCTGCCTTCAGCTCAGGTCATGATCTCAGGGTCCTGGGATCCGGCTCCCTGCTCAGTGGGGAGTCTGCTTCTCCCTCTCCCTCTCCCTCTGCCTCTGCCCCTGCTCGTGCTTGTTCTCACTCTCTCTCAAATAAATAAATAATCTAAAAAAAAAAAAAAAGCTGAGAATACCCTTCAAGGAGTGTGCTGACTTACACAAGGCCACAAGCTTGTGCATGATGGAGCCAGATTTAGAATTTAGGTCTGTCTGACTTCTAAGACCAGTCTCTTGCACCAATCATTCTGCAAAGTGTGGCTTGGGGCCCCCTAGTCATACCAAGATGATTTCAGGTGGGCCCCAGATAAACATTTTTTAAATAGTTATATAGTTTCTGTTATTTTCCACTTTAGAGGAGGCTTATTGATACTACAGAAGTCCTAAATTTCACACAGCCAGGCTATAGGAGGCTGAATAATGGCCACCCAAAGATATAGAGACCTAATCCCTGGAACCTATAGATGTTACCTTATTTGGGAGAAGAATCTTTGCAGATGTGATTAAGGATGCTGAGATGAGGAAGTCATCCAGGATTATCCCAGTGGGCACTAACTGCCATCACAAATAACCTTATAAGAGAGAGGCAGAGGGAGATTAGGACAGCGTAGAAAACCGGACAAACCTGTGCAACTGTGGAAGCAGACTGGAGTGATGCAGCCACCAGAAGGTAGAAGAGCCTCTGGAGGGAGCACGGCCCTCTCAACACCTAATGTTAGCCCAGTAAGACTAATGTTGAGTTTCTGGCTTCTAGAACTATGAAAGAATACATTCCTATTGTTTTAAGCTACGAGCTTGGTGATAATTTGTTGTAGCAGCCACAGGAAACAAATACACAGTTCTACATGGCTTAAAAATTCATGCTCCAGGGGTGCCTGGGTGGTTCAGTCAATTCAGTGTTGGCCTCTTGATTTTGGCTCAGGCCATGATCTCAGGGTTGCGAGCTCGAGCCTCACATCAGGCTCTCTGCTGGGCATGGAACCTACTTAAGATTCTCTGTCTTCCTCTCCCTCCGCCCCTCCCCTCCTCTCCCTCTCCCTCTCTTAACAAATTTTAAAAAATAATCACGCTCCAAACTAGTACACATAACCCCCGTCTCTTGTTAAATAAACTTATTTTAAAACAGCTATACAGAAAATAAACGTAAATCTTTGATATACAGAGTAAAGAGATTCTGGAAGCGCAGAGTTCCCACAGACCCCTCCCTCAGTCTCTCATATTGCTAACATCCTACATGACTATGGCACATTTGTCACAACTAAGAAACCAACCTTGGAACCTTCCTATTAACTAAACTCTACACTTTACTTGGTTTTCACTAGCTTTCCAACTATGTCCATTTTTTCGTTCCAGGGTCCCATCCAAGTTATTACATTACACTTGGTCAACGTGTCTTCTTAGTCTTCTCTGGCCTAGGACAGTTTCTCAGACTTTCCTTCTTTTTCATGACCTTGTCACAGTTTTGAGGCATACTCGTCAGATATTTTATAGAGTACCCCTCCATTTGAGCTTCTCTGGCTCAACTGGGGTTATAGGTTTTGGTGAAGGATGCCACAGAGGTAAGGTACTTATGACATCATGTCAGGGGTCCATGCTATCAATATGACTTGGCCACCTTCAGTACCTGGCCAAGCTAGTGTTTGCCCAGTTTCTCCCCTGTGAAGTTACTTGGTTTTCCTCTCTTTCTACTCTTTGGAAGAAAGTCACTAAGTGCAGCCCATACTCAAGGGGGAGAGGGGGAATTAAGCTCCACAGCCTGGAAGGGATAAATTGTTTGGAATGCTTCTATAAGGAAGACGTATCTCTTCTCACCCATTTAGTTATTTATTCAATCATTTCATTACATCAGTATGGACTCATGGATATTTAGTCTATACTTGAGGCTATAATCCAGTACTGTTATTTCTTTTGTTGCTCAAACTGTTCCAGCTTTGGCCATCGGGGGCTCTTTCAGGTTGCCTCTTGAGTCTCTTTGAAACTAATTGTTTTGCATCTTGGTTGTACCAAGATGATTTCAAGTGGAACCCAGATGAGCATTTTTTTTAAGAGTTGTATATTTACATTATCAGGCTTTGGAAAACATATAACCAGCATCTCAAGTTGATGATTTCACAAATACCATTGAGGACAAGGCTAATGTAGTGATGGTTGTGCTAAGTGAGTCAATTCCCAGAGAGGTATTAAGTCAAAACTGCTATTGATGGTACATGGGTATGGAGGAAGTTGTTAAGCTGATTAGGGAATGACTCAAGTTTGAGAAAC